TTCTGAAGAATAAAACAAGCCTATTACTATTATATTATTATTATTATTATTATTATTATTAAATAGGACCTTTTAGATAAATACAAGTGGGCAAAAAGAAATTTATTGTAGGCACTGTTTTTTCACTGGTATGTACAAAATATGCCAATGCTATTAATTAGTTTCCCTAACCTGTAGAAAAGGCAGTGTGGTCTAGAATTCTAAGTACAGGACTGGGAACTAGGTAGTTCTGATTTCTGTTTCTGGCCTTGATTCCATCTGCAAATTTTGGCAAGTCATTTGATGTCTCGGTATCAGAATCATCATCTGTAAAAGGGATTTGGAAAAATACTTGTTATTTATATCAAAGCATTAAGCATTTATCATAAAACAAAGCACCGATTGTTTTCAATATAATTTTGAATTTCTAATTATATTAGGTATTAAAGATTTAGATTTAGTCATGAAAAGAGATGTTATCTATATAACCCAGACATGCAAAGAGTGACTTTATTTATTTATTTATTTTAAAAAGATGACCAGTAAGGGGATCTCAACCTTTGGCTTGGTGGTGTCAGCACCATGCTCAGCCAGTGAGCCAACCGGCCATCCCTATATAGGATCCAAACCCATGGCCTTGGTGTTATCAGCACCGTGTGAGCCACAGGCCGGCCCCAAAGAATGACTTTACAGTGGAGAAACCTGACCAAATACTTTCTTACCCAGATGATCAAGGTCAACGTCACCAGTCATAAATCACATTGATAGTATGTTCCCTGGATAAGATGTGATGAAAATGGCAGTTTATCTCAGTGGCCTACTCCCTAATAACTCATAATTCCAGTCTAATCATGAAAAAGAAAAAAAAAAAAAAAAGACAATTCTTTTAGTGGGTCAATCCTACAAAATACCTGAAAATCTGCCCAAACAATTGTTTTTGCCTCCATGGCCCATTTGGACTAGAATACACTTTTTGAAGTTACTTAGGAATTTTAAGCTTAAAATACTGAGTTTGAACAAGGTTTTATTTCCTCAGTCCAGCCCCAGTGTTTTAAAGTTAGCATGGAGAAACTGAAATACAGGTCAATAGAGAAAACTGGGTGTCAACATGTTTTTTTTTTTTAAGTTGACTTTATTTTTTAGAAGTTTTAGATTTACAGAAAAAATTGAGAAGACAGTACAGAGAGTTCCCATATATACTGCACTTTCCCAACTATTAACATCTTATGTTAGTATGACACATTTGTTACAATTAATGACTAAACTGATATGTTATTACTAACGAAAGTCCAAACTTCATCCAGATTTCCTTAGTTTTCACCTAATGGGCTTTTTTTTCTTTTTTCTTTTTTTTAAAAGATGATTGATAAGGGGATCTTAACCCTTGACTTGGTGTTGTCAGCACCATGCTCTCCCAAGTGAGCCAGGACCAGCCCCCTAATGTGCTTTTTCTCATCCAGAATCCCATCTAGTATAAACATCATTACACTTAGTTGGCATGACTCTCTAGGCTACTGTTGGCCGTGGCAGTTTCTTACTGTCCTTGTTTGTGATGACTTTGAGAGTTTTGAGGAATACTTGTCAGGTATTTTATAGGATGACTCATTAATGGAATTGTCGTTTTTTTCATGATTAGACTGGAAATTACAGGTTATTGGGAGTAGACCAGAGAGGTAAACCACCATTTTCATCACATCTTATCAAGGGTACATACACTATCAACATGATTTATGACTGTTGATGTTGACTTTGATCATCTGGGCAAGGCAGTGTTTATCAGTTTTCTCCATTGTAAAGTCACTTTTTTACTTTCTGTACGCTACCCTTTGGAAGGAAATCACTATGTGCAGCCCACACTAAAGGAGTGGGGAGTTATGATCCACCTCCTTGAGGGAGGAGAGTGTACATAAATAATTTGGGATTCTTCTGCACAGGAGATTTGTCTCTTCCTCCTTATTTATTTAATCACTTATAGCAGTACGGACTCATGGATATTTTATACTTTGGGTTATAATTCAGTTTTTTTCTCAAATTGTTTCAGCTTTGGCTCTTGGGAGCTCTTTCAGTTGGCTCTTGTGTGCCTTTAGAATACCCCTATCAAGTGTGTGTGTGTATTTAATCCTTCCCTGTTTTCCAGCACTACAAGATGCTCCATGCTTATCTTGTATTATTTCCTATCCCAGACCTAGAATCAGCCAATCCTCCAAGGAACCCTCATTAATTTTATTGGAGAACAGTATTAGAAACAAACATCTGGGCACCAAATGTGCTTACTGCTACTGAGGTGTCGTTTCTTTTAGACCCTGTTCAGCTAACAGGGCAAAAAATTTGTGTGTGTACACTACTACATGTATATACACAAATCTATAAGCATATCTGTATGTAACCATCTGAATCTATATTATGGTAAACATAAATTCATATTGATATCTCTGATTCTACATGTTTCTGTGTCTGTGACAGGAGCTCAAGGGAATTGGGAGTATTAGTGGCTACTGATGAAGAAGAGAAAAACTGCAGGTTATCATCATTCACCCAATTCTCTAGAAAAAAGAAATCAAGAGAAGATGCAAGATATAAAAAGACCAAATCATCCTCTGTTCTTTCCTTCTAATAGCCCACCAGACTGAGAGGTATAGCTGAGTAGAACTACATGTAACACTGTTTTTAACATTTCACCATAAATGCTCCAAACTCTGGGTCCCTCCTGCTTTGTCACCATTTCCTAGCCAACTGAAATGAATTTAGCAGAGTGCACTTTTGTTTATATGTTTGAAATATTAAAAATTAAAGTTACTTGCTTTCTTAAAAAAAATTGTTTTTTTACATTATAATAAATTCAAACACTTGCCTGTTTTGAAATCAACCCACATTTCACCCACATTTCCAAATAAGGAAAAAATTAAAATATGTTAAAAGCAATTTAAAGAAAAATAATCTGGAAAATATTAGATATACCTTTGTTGTCAAAATATTTTAAATCTGGCTGTCTCATAGAACAGACACTATAACAATGATCAGAAAAAATTCCACTGAATCCATCTGCAATTCTGCTTATTCCAGAGGAATCTAAACATAAAAGAAAAGAAAAAGATTTCAAGCACAGTAAAAATATACATATTTAATGGGTCATTCCTTTACCTAACATATATAAATTTTCATGACTTTATAGTATAATGAAAATATAATATTTTCCTCAATTTTTAAAACTTTTATATTTCAGATCTGACAGACATTGAACTTTGAATGAACCACAAATTATACACATTAAAATATAATAAATTTGAAACACAAGGATACATTTGCCTTACTATCAGAATCTCACAAAATATAAATCTATGATTAGCAATGTGTTAACTGCACAAAACAGTGTATTAACTACCAGGAAGATATGCTATGTAGTGCAGAGAAAGCATAATACATAGGGGAAATGGTCTGAGGATGAATTAGAGCTTCTGCATATAGTCATTTCAAGTCTTGCCTGGAATGGGTCAGTAAGTAGTAGACCAGATTTCATTTCCTCACATATGAAGAATGTATAGGTTGGGTATGCCTGTTACTGTCCCAAGTACGGATAGTTAGAGATGGCCAAAAAGACTCTTTTCTTATAATGCCAAGACAGCAGAGCCAACCTCAATCAAAGGATCTAAAATTACACAATCAAAGTGAAAGTTCAGATTTCTGAAAGTAATGTACAAGATAAAGCTTGTTCCCCGTTATAATGCAAAACATCTCCCACAAAGGTTATCATTGTGTCTTTAGCACAGCTTGGAAATCAGACAGACAAATCCCAATTATGCTACATAAGTAGGTAACCTTGGTGTGGTGGTTTTACAGTACCTTCAAGCTCATGTTGGAACTTAACTCCCAATGTGGTGGTGGAAAGTGGGGCCTTTAAGAGGTGATTGGATCCTGAGAACTGTGCCCTTGTGAATGGATTGATCCATTCATGGAGTAATGGGTTGATGGTTTAATGGGTTGCCATGTGCATGATTCTGATGGCTTTAAAAGGAGAGCAAGTAAGATTAGCTGTCATGCTGTTGCCATATTCTCTCCAAGTGACACCCCAGGTCACTGCAGTCACCACCCAGAAAATAGGCCCTCACTAGATGTGTTCCCTGCACCTTGGACATTCTAGCCTCCAAAGCTATAAGAAATAAATTTCATTTCCTTATAAATTACCCAGTTTCAAGCACTCTGTTATAAGCAACAAACAAACTAATGCATGTGGATATCTAATTTTAAATAGCTATAATCAATGGAGTTGTGAGGATTAAATAAAATAATGTCTGTAAAGTTCTGGTGTATGCCTAACACATGGTAGACAATGAATATATATATTCAGGAAATTTATTTAAAATGTTCTCTTACCAAAAAATTGATCCAGATATTTAAGACTTATGAGAA